GACGACGGACGAAAACGGATAGCAATAGGTCACTTGAGCTAAAGCTCAGGTGACCTAAAAATGCTATCAAATTTTAAAGTCCTCACATTTCAAACATTGGAGGTTATAACCAGAGATTTTTTATTTATTTTTTGAAACATTTTGCAAAAATTTAAAATGCTGATTAGAAAAATCATCCAAAGATTTACCTGGTGACATAAATCTGCAGCAAGGTTGATGTAGGCCGACGACAACTCTGCCTCTCTGGTTCGGAACACCAACACATCTCTCGTCCTGTAACAGTGGTAAACATATGCTAAACAAAGGGTGAGTTATGTTGAAACATAAACATATAAAATCGTTTTTCTAATAACAATAATGATAAATAATAATAATTTGAGGTTCTTATATATACCGTTTTATCGCAACCTAGTTCATAGGTCGGTTCAAGCGGTTCACAAATTATTATCCGTGGTTATAGGGCCTTTACAACCAGTCAATACCTTTCTCAACTCTCTAGTGAGCACACAGTGCTCACAGCTAGCATTCAACAATTCTAGCACTGCCCAACCACGTACTCATTTACAGCTGAGTAGACTGGAATAAGCGGAGTAGAGTATTTTGCTTTAAGATACAACACAGTGCCATGACGTGACTCGAACCCGCAACCCTGTGGTCAGTAGCCTAGCGTCGAACCACTAGACTATCGTGCCTCCTAAACATTTTCTACGTGTTGTTAAGTAAAGATTGCATAGAGGTCATATAGCACAACCAGTGAAATGTTTGTTTAGGTATGACGTTTCAATAACTAGCATCATACATGAACCTGTATAGAAGACAAAATAATATTTCTATACATCTACTTGTATAATATCTGTATTATATCTCTCCAATATCATATACATGCAGAGCTAAATTTGCAGTCTAGCAGACTGTGCACTTTAGAGTATTCAATGGAGGGGGTGAACTGATGGATTACAGGGGGTAATGGAGGCTGCTGACAATTACATGGCAGCAAAAGCATTGGTTTATGCATAACTTTCATAATTAAAACTTACGGTCCTGAAAACTTTGTACGACCACCCAACTGTTTAAGGTCTCCATGTATAACTTCATACAGTTTTCTTAGATGACTCTGCAAAAAACCAAGTTGAATTAGATCAAAATATTACTTTCATAACATAGTGTAAACCTGTTAGAATACAATAACAGAGAAACCATTCCTCATGTCAATACCAAGCAAACATTAGTTTTATTACAGTCAAGCAAGTACAGAAAACATGAAGAGCGACTATAAGAAATAAGATGTCTTAGAAAGCTTCAGGATGCAAAGGGAAATAAAAGGATTTTCAACACCACAAGAACAGCTTTGACGTTTATATGTTTGGATTGCTATGCAGCCATCATGAGGACAATTTTTACAGATTGGTTAAAGGGAGCCAATCTTACCATCCAGAGGTCCCAGTCAACTGCTGTTGCCTCGGGGGTTCCGCGTTTAGCTCCCCCTGGGTGGTGACACTCCATTTGGAGGTGCAGGAACTCGACCACCTCATTCTGTGGGTCAATTAGATAAGTACAAACAAATAACAAGTGTTAATTGTAACAGAGACTGTTATATTGCCATCCAGGTTATGCCTGTAATCACAGGAAGGAGCACTTCCACCACATCATATTCCAACATATATAGGTGAAGCGAACTGAAACTATAGCTGTAGATGGTCGCCAAATAGAGACCATGGCAGCCATCTTGAAATTGTTCTTTAACCCTTTCACCCCTATGTAACTTAAGTAGACTCTACCATGCATTGGTATGGATGAGTCCATCATGGTTTATAGTGGTGAAAGGGTTTAAGTTTAACTTGTTGTTTAAAGTATGTACAATGTACCACTCACACAAACTATGACAACAAAGTCAGCCTCTAATAAACATTCAATAATAGGAAAACTTGTGAAATATTTGGATTTATGTCCCAATGATAAATGCATGAGTTATTAAAAGTATGTGACAACTTGGAAACAGACTGTTTTATACATTTAATTAATAAATTAAAGTCCTCTGATGAGTCAGTATATGGAAGTATTCTATCAACTATATAAAGTAAGTTTAAAAGTTTATATCTAGATATGATACTTTACCTTGAGAGTGGGTGATGGTCTGTTCTCCCAAATGTACAGCAGGCTTATTAGAGTAGTCTCCCCTAGTTTACAAAGTTGTATGCGGGACCCCTCTGCGATACTTCGTAGAAATGTATTTAAGGCGGAAAGCAGATTCTCAACAACGCTTGTTGTCTTTTCCTGTCTGTGTATAAGTTGTTTAGATATGACATTTACTACACTGATAAAAATTTACAGAAAACTAATTTTTGATCCAGTACCATTTATGTATTAAAATGGCATTGAATGTATTACAAAATATTTCAAATAGCAAAATCATTGAATTTTGTTGTTTGAATGATTAAGATTTTCCTAGCTGAATTTGAAATTGAACTTCTCAGTAAATATCTATTTTTCCTTCTACGCGTCAAAATTCACTCATTAGAGCAAAATGTGACCTTTATTACTATTAATTACCTGACATTTTTGAAATAGTCTGTGAAGAATTTTAGAATGCGTTTAGGTCTTAAGTCACACTGGGTTGTAGCACCAGAAATCAACACTCGAATCAGTCGTGACAGCAACGTCTTGTCCACCCGACAGTCGGTGTCCGTGAACATCATACAGTACAACGCTATCAGCTCTGAAAGAAAACAGCAGTCCTGTGAAATCAATAATTTTTACGGGTTCAAAACTATAATAAGGTAGGTCTTCTATTTGTAATGATACACAAGGGGAATCCTTGGGCATGAGTTTTGAGAACAGTGTACGTAATGTCACTGTGTATACAGCAAGAGCACATTGTCATAATTTCATTTCCCACTACCTCACTTTGGGTGGTGCGAAACAAAAGCCATTTTCTCTTAAAATTTGCTCTCCAGTACACCCAGGACATCTGGCTGGGAAAATCCTATCTATTAAAGGAACTTTTTGCATTTTAGAAATGCTCTTTAGAAATGCTCTAAGTTTGCAGAAAACATGTATAATTTCTTATCATGCCCAGGAAGTAAATATCAGCATTTTATAAAGAAGGCCTGATACTCTCAACAATCTGTGACATTTAAAGAAACAAGAATCATTCTACACCCACACACTTACCATGCCACATCTCCAGAGAGATTTCTGTCCAGTATTTACGGACAGTCAGTATGTTTTTCAGTAAGATGTTACTATAGTCCAGTCCATAGGCGTTACACATATACTCATCCTTCAGAACATCGGTCAGGTGTTTCAGGACGTTGGAACACTTAAGTCGTGGGCCTCCTGTAACAGAAAATACAATATGACTGTCCATACTCCGCGAAAAACATAGAAAGGTGGTCTGGTGGTGCAGGGGAAAGGTATGGGTCACCGTCCCGACCACACGGGTTTTCTCAGGGCACTGTGTTTTCCTCCCATATTAAGACCCCTGACATGCTAAAATCTGGGCCAACAAGAGTGATTCAAATAAGTTGAAACAACTTGTTTCATAATTGTTATAAAATAAATAAAACGCATATAAGATACAGGGAGATTCTTTGATAACCAAGGATACGACTGTACTGCTTAATATAAATCCTGGCATAATTATCTTAAAATTACATGACATATCTCATTCTTTTTTCATAGGTTTTAATTCCTTTTTTCTTATTTGTCACATGCCTCGTAATAAACCAACCCAAATCTATTGCAACTGACTGTTCAGTAGAAATTCCAACAAATGTTACTTTATTCTCCAGTAATAAGCCCAGGCCTAGTTTGAGTTTGATTATGGGTTGGGTTTAATGCAGGATAAGTGTGATACAAATGGCGGCCTGAATGTAGCTAGAGTCAGCTTGTTTAACACTGAAACTAACAATTTCCTTAAACAAGGTACAATACACAGTCTAAACATTTGATTACAATGCAATTGATACAAGCATATTATTGTTGGGCAAGTTATTTCAGACATACGTTTGTCAGCAAAACGGATCACAGACTTGAAGACGCCACTGATTTCTTGTTTCCTTTTCTCCCTGTTGGCGAGCGTGGTAGCTGTTTGAGCTTCCTTGGCCTTTTGAAGCACGGAAGTCTCCACATTTACGTAGCCGATAGCACCCTGTAAAGACAATATATGTGTAAACCTTCTGTGAACACAGCATTCATTAAGCCAATATTTAGCATCCTACAGAAATAATTAACACAACCATATACATCTTAGTTACCACATCAAAATCAGGGAATTCGTGTGATAAAATTAAAGCATACATGTATGAGTATTTGAATTTAATTTCTCATCGTCAAAAAACATTTCACTTTTCTTTTATCAATTAAGTCCCATGTGGCCCTGTATGACTTAATGTGTTAATGGGTATTTTAGACTCCTGTGTACTTAGCCCTGTATGTTCTTATTGATGTTTATTGCCAGTAGTTTCAAATAACAGTTTTCTCCAGTCAACGATTATACATGTTATCATAAATGTAGCATTATGTAAACTATTTCCTTAGACAAATGTAATTATATATAAGGTCATTTAACAGGGTTTCAGTAATTCAACTTCAATTAAACATTCAGAATTAGAGACTATGCTGTGGTTATATTAATTGGAGGCTGTACGAACAGATAAAACATTTCAACAATTACCCGTAAGACGTCATCCCATGTAATCTGTCTGTCCCTCCGGCTTGCCTTACTGTCGGAGGTTTTGTCTAAGGCCTCTAGCACAGAGTTCTTTTTCAGCAGCAGGAGCAACTTCTCCACACTTTTCTGAATAAAAGGAAACCAAAATATATAATACTTCATTATATATATGACATGCGTAACCAGAATTAGGTATTTTCAGTTAAAATATTATTAAAGTTGGGCAAGTACGTTTGTCAGCAAAACGTTCATTTAAAATTTATTTAACTTTTAATTTTCTAATACCCATTGGTCATTTTTGACAGAATAATATTATTTAACTTTTTCACTGACAGTCTCACTCACAGTACATGTGCAGATAACATATGTGATGGACTCCTTTAATTAAAGCCAATGAATTTCTCAAACTAAATTTTATCAGAAATACAAAGTCACAGCCAGGAAAAACTTCTGATAAGGATAAATGTAATGGTATAATGATATTGTGGAAATAAATATGTGATGCTAATAAAAAATTCACATCACTCCTAAATGATCAAGGACATGTGATCATATCAGAATAATCACCCTGGTAAAATACTAGCCACTTCCTGCATGCCATCTCAGCTAGGATGAAATTTCTCTTGGCTCATTTGGTAGAATGTAAGACTAATAAACCAGAGGTCCCAATTTGACTCGATCCAGCTCTCATGTGGCATTTGAAAAGTAATTACCACTATTATATTACCCTTGTTACAGAAATATATGTAGTTTTCTAACTCATAATTATATATAATTTGCCTGGGGGATATATTCACAAAGATTTTGAGAACCCACATTACTAATAATAGCTAGGACTCATCAAAATTAAAAGAAAAAAATGTTCAGGACTCGCCTACATAAACAAGTGCTTCAGATCTAGGAATCACTGCTTCTTGTGGTTTGAGTATAAACTGATGCATATATACCTAAATCACCTTTTATCTTTGGTTATCACATGCACCCTATTGTATCTTGTATAGCCAAATTACATTTACATGGGTGTGAAGGAAATGAGGATGTGAGGGAGATTTATTTTCCATTTTCTATTAAATTACCTTGAGTTCTAGTACATTTTACTACATGTATATGCAAATCAAGAAATTATACAAGAATCAACCAATATGAAATCAAACTGCGTAAACACCAGTGAACCAAACCTTTCTGTCTGATGCTTTATCTGCTACTAGTTGATGGCAGTAGGATGCTATGTCTGAAAGGTATTCCATGTTGTGTACTCCAATATAATCTTTAGGGATACATTTTACTTTGAAAGCACCTGAAAATAAAAGAATTCTCAATCACATATAATCTAATACGTCCATCCCATTCCCAATCAAAAACCTCAAAATCATCTTGTATGCTATACATACAACGATTGTCATGTGTCCAATACAATAGCTATCGATTCTTAACGCAACGGGGCGTCATTAACAAATTGAGTACATATTTTTACTTTATCAAGTAGAGAAATCCTTGTTTTACATGAACAAACTTTCTAGCTTTGATCCAGAAATATTTACCTTGAATTAGTTATGCATCATTCCACATTATGCATTCACGCGTCACAACACTCTGCTTGTAAACGGCTAAATCGTCCCTGTCCATTTCGTTGTTTTTACTTTCGTTTTTGGTTTTACCTTGAAAACTCTGAGACACAGGCGTACAAATTTGCGTTTATAATTCACTTAGATACAATTAGCAAAAAGTCTAACTGGTAAAACCGAAATGGGTACATTTTTTTCAAACCAATCATCTGATAGCCTTTCGCTGCAAAAAAAATCAAGTAGGGAAAACAAATTCACGTGTATTTAAAATATGGCGGAGAATACCCGCAAAAACGAAAGTAAAAAGTAAGCGATGTATAATAGTATTTGTGTATAAACTTTACTCGTATTCATTATAATTTCACACAAAAAATAAAATATCAATATATATCAATAAATTTATTGCTATTTATTAAATATATTTGTCCTATATGGACTATGTATGTTTCAATTCATAATATTTTAAACATTATTTTATCGACTATTTACGGTTATATTTTACCGGTAACGGTATCTGCGCAGGCGTCAATCTCTGTAGCAACCTAGTGCTGTCTGTTGTTTGGATCGTGTCTGTCAGAAAATAACAAATTTACCGGTAATAATGACAAATTACAGGGTAAGAACAACTATGTATTTTTTGTTGTAACATATTTCTTTGAAACGTATTTATATATCAACCGTGTTCATATGAATTGAACTGTCTGCAAGTTCAAATGTGTTCTGATATGACGCTGTGAAATGTTTGTGCATGCATGTGCGCGCTCAGATTCTTTTCTAATTTGGCGACTCGAAGTTTCACTTTTTTATCATTCTCAGTAAATGTTAACGTTACTCTTAAGCTCTTTAAATGTTTTTGTCTATGTGATTATCATTTTTCAATCCAACGGTGTGAGTTGAAAAAAAGTCGTTGATACGTAAACGTTTGATAATAATGACGTGTGGAAAACATTACCAACACATGAATAACATCTGAAATATTGTTGAAACTGTCATGTGGTCACATTAATTTGGGAGTATTTAATAGATCTGCTTTCCTGGCATGATGATGTGAAATATTATACTTAAACACATATATGGAAATTAAACATTTAACATACATTTTATTACTGATCGACCCTGGTAACATTCAATAGACAATAATGTGATATTGTATGTCAGTGATGTATAATTCAACAAGTGGGATGCCAGTAGAACTAATAATAAAGAAATGTTCCATTAAATTTGAAAATATGTATAGGTAAGATATAATGTGAAATTAAAAAAAAAATGCCTGCAGCTTCAGGGTTAGACACTAAATATTTTTGCTTGGTAGTCCACAGGACTAGTTGAATAGACTATTTACTAGTCCTTCATCAATGTAACTATAGTCCCAGATTTTCTGATAAGGAAACATTGCGATCAAAAGTAGGGTACCAACTCCGGGACTTAAAATTACTACTGCCATAAAAATATGGTGAAGTATAAGGAAAATTTTGACAGTTATCATACAATTATCTTAATCAGTTTTCTAAATTTTAAAAAGGAATATTCTTATTTTATAACCATGTTTTTTTTACAAGTCCAAAGGACCAGTTAGGTTAGGTGATTTACTAGTCCTTGCTGAAATCTACTAGTCGAGGACTAGCGGCCTAGTGTTAGTGTCGACCCCTGAGCTTCATGGCCCCTGTAGTTATATCATTTAATATTAGACCTCTAAATACGAAATTGTACCCTACCCTGGTATATGACAGCTATTTTGGGAAAGGGCACTTGAGCAGAAATTGGGAAAATATCACTGCATTTGCCAAATTTGGAATTTCATCAGTTTCCCCCACATGTACAGGTTTGGGAAATTATCATAATTTAAAAAAATATATAAATATTCAATGCAATTTGCAAAAAGTTTCCTCTGGCTTAGAGTTAAATGTAAAGCAATAAATAAACATTTGAATTTTCATTTTTCAGTGTTTAGTTCATTCAATTTCACTAATTTTAGATATTTTTGTATTTTGAATGCTCCTTGTACATATAACACAGTGGAAACTTGTATAAACATGCTTTTAAATCCAATTGGGAAAATAAAGACTGAAATTTGGGAAAATACAGGGTCATTTTATTAATAGGCAATGGGTCCCTGTGCCAGACTCAATACACACCTGGCAAAAACCCTGACTCTAGAAAGTTATTTTACTGAAAGAAATTAGAAACAGGCCACTGGTTCTAAAAAAGGCTGTAAAGGCTTTTTCAATATTTTTATTGAAGAATAATAAATAATTGCATTTCAACTGTTTAGTAAAGTTTAAAACAAAATTATAGAAGTTGGACAACAGACTACTCTATGATAACACATTTCTAATTTGTCACATTGACAATAGTATAATGGATGCTGGTGGATTTGTTAAATTGAAATATTTACGGGTCAAACTTTGCAGAATGGTTTAAATAACAATAGTTCACTGCAGGTTTCTGGTATTCTTCCAATCAATGTATTTTTTGAATGAGAGTTAACAAGCAGACATCTAATAATAGGTGTCCTACCTGGCAAAACATGTGTCTAATAAGGAAGTTCCCTAACTAAGTCATGTGGATCGCAAAGTTAACATTAGATTAAAGGCTTAATATATTACTGACAGCATATTTATTGTTTTGGCCTTGTAAATAAACTTCATTGAAAAGTTCTTTCTTGATGAATAAGTCATGATCAGGAAGTCATTATTTCATGCAGAGTAAATATGAACATTTTGCTTACTAATTTAGTAGTTTATGGTAAGTTTACAATGAACTCCAATTTTACCAACATCAAGGAGGACTCGGTCAGTGGGTCAGATACATGAGAGTAATCAGTATGTCGGTTTGAAAATTAAACATATCCATTAATATATAACAGGATGTTGTTAGGTCAGATGCTAGGAAGATGTAGATAAATAATTAAGACATCATGACTCATTTTCAAGATGATAAATAATTTTATGATATTAAAATAGCAAAATGCATATTGGAAATTAACAAACTGCATGCTTAATTGTAAAACCTCTTTACTAGCTATTTACATACAGGGGCCAATAAATGGTCACTTTCCTAGTGGAAAAGAAGTTCTTTATTTTCCAATTTAAAAAAAGAAGAAAAATAAAGTTCAAGTAATGATATTTTTCAAGTCATCCGATGTTCTGGAAATCAGGTATCATGATATATACTTTAGTGTTTAACGGGTATATTGAATACAACAAAAGTGTCAAATTTTCATTCTCAAGAAAAAGCATCTTTTTGTTTTCCAAGTTAAAATCATGTCAGCAATTTTTCCCAATTTTAAGCCTAGCTGTGTCTTTTTTTCTAAAGTAGCTAGAAAAATTTGTGCACTGTTTATCTATTTCTTCATTATAAATATATAGACATCTCCAGTGCATGTTTAGATTTACAAAAAATGGGCTTGGTTATCATACAAATGTAATAGTAATACAAAATGTATACCATTTTACAGTGTTAATTGAGAAAATAAACATAGTTTGGAAGGTATTTAACACTTTTAGATATCATTCAAAACAATTATGGGTTTTGTAAAATTGCCAATATACCATAACAGTTACTACATTCTGGTAAAAGACAGTTTCTTTCATAGTCATTTATAGATATGTATCTCAAACTTTTCATTGATTTTATAATTTTTATATGAAAAAAACTGTGTACATTGCATGTTTTACAAATTTAATCTTGGTGACAAATGTACTTCAGAACTTGAAATATGAATTACCAGTACATGCCATTTCATTTTATTTAAATTCCTTTTTAATGCTTACAGTAAATGTCACTTCTGTGAGTTACTACAGAAGAGACTTACTTTTGACTGATCTCTGCATCCCTTACGCACTTTACATAGACATTCAATGTCAAATGCACATAAATTCCTTAGTCGCTGACAAGGGAATCTAGAGTTGTATGACGATTGTTCGTTTCCAAGCCTACAGTGACGCAGATCCAGTCTAGCTATTGATTTTGAGAGTATACAGTGTGATGAGGAAGAAACAAATATTAAGGAACAACTTCATGTGTAATTTAAATATATACCGGTACAACGGTTACCTTTCAATTGCAGAACAAATATTTCAATATTGTACACTCTTTGCTATTGCATTGCATTTTTAGAATTTTATATGTAAATTGGTCATTGTGATGTAAAAAAGAACATTTCATTGTGGTCACAAAGTCAAAACAAGACCAAAACTGGTAAATGTTTTGGATAGATTTTTTCCGTGAATAAACAGAAATGTCATTGATATGCTTTAGTGAGGCACTATTATAAAATTTTCAGGTCAGCAGAATGATTAGTGACACAAGATAATAACATTAACCGAAAAATGAAGCATTTGTTGAAGAAGATAATAAAATAGTACATTTCACCAGTACAGTATGAAATGAGTATAAACCTACCACAGGAGAGTATATATATATGAACCTAATAGTAAATGTAAATGGTACATATATAGTACGTCATCTAAAAGGGAATGTAGCCCCCAGCACTATGAACCAAGAATCTTGGTGCAAAATATGAACTGCAATGGAATGTCAAAACAATTTAAAAAACATATTCCCTGCAGCTAGAATTTATAAATGTGCCAGAAATGTGATTAAATAAGCTTGAAAATGGCACTGAATAAGGCAATTCTAATTTCCCAATGTAATCTGCTTTGGTTGTGACAACACTGCTAGCTGGTAGCGGTTGATGTTAATGAAACACGACAACTATACACTGCAGTGGTATAGCCCCAGGGCCAGATCTGACATTCTGTGTATCGCGGAGAATCAGTCAATTAGCTGTATGAAGCATTGATTATATAATACAAGACTTGTTATACATTAAATTACATCTAGGTGAACGTATCAGTAAGACGTTGACACTCGACAAAGAGATGTTTGTGTAGTTCTGATGCTTCAGTGCGTGTGGTGGGATTTTAGTTAAATCTGTGAAATCGAAAATGCCTTCCCAGGTAGGGCGGATGACGAAATTGAATAATTTGCATTCTAATGAATGGTTGGTTTGAAAATGTCCGTCGGAGAATTTTGTTATGGTTCATAGAAACAAAATTGTACAAAAATGTTTGCTACAAAATTAATGATTTGATGATATTGCACTGAGTAATGAAAAGATGCACATCGATCAAAGACAAGTGATTCATGCTGCAAGTGGTGTAAAAATGATGGATGGTATATTTCACATTAAATGGTGATACTCTTATATTTCAAGTTTGTCAGCTGGACACCTGCGATGTCTTACTTCCAATTACATAGAGCAATACATACATAATGTACTAGTAATATCGGTCATTTATGGATTTTTTGTCTGTGGTCTTTTCCAGGCAGCTGATTCTAAGCGGGAGGAGTTTAGGAAATATCTAGAAAAAGCAGGTGTTTTAGATGCTTTAACGAAAGGTAAGATTAATTGATTTTACATACATATATGTGTGTATTCGTTGGATTGGCAGGTGTTACAGATCAGTCTACAGATACCTTAGATATATATGTACATGTCTGGACAGCCATGTCGTAATTTCCTTTAAAAATCTCGGGTTTTCTATTGTAGGCTCTGTAACTTTTGTAGGTAATTTTGATAAACCTTTGTGTAAAATATAGTGGTACATACATCTTATTAAGTACCTTTTGTGTATACTTGCAACACAACATTACATTCACCTGGCCTTATAGGATCTTGGATCCAGGGAAACAAATAAGAAAATATTAACTGTAATGGTATTTTAAAGTTAAAAGGTATATCAGTAATTTGAAAATCTGTGACTCATTATAGATCTATATTAAATATTATGTTTTTTAGCTGGACACCCGGATGTCTTACTTACAATTATGTAAAATAGTCATAATGTTAACCCTTTCACCCCTATGTAACTTTAGTAGACTCTACCATGTATTGATATAGATGAATCCATTATGGTCTACAGTGGTGAAAGGGTTAAAGGGAATTTTTAGTTTATGCTTCATCCTGAAATAATGTGTACATGTATATACAATCTGAATGTGATCAATTAAAAAAAAAAAAGCTATGTTCTGTGTGGAATGTAAGCTTAAAACTGGCTATGTGAACGGTTCATACATATTCTTGAAATTAGAACAAGGCTTTGAAGTATGTAGTTATCTGATTGATAGTGGCAAACTGAAGTTCGATTTTTAATACCTTCCATTTTTTCTGTCTGTAAATCATGACTGGCTTGAGTTTCTCATATACAACACCTGCACTTGTATGTATTGTTTAAATATGGGGACAGGAAGTTTTTGGTAAGATTGATACGGAAAAGTTCCCTACAAGGTGAAGTTGTGCATGAGTCATGTTTTAAACAACATCGTTTGGGATGATTTATATACAGCTCTGACGTGTTATTACCGTATAGAAGTCGGATTCTTATCTTTTTTTTTTTTTTAACCCGATTCATTTATCACAGCTTTTACTTATTTTCGTATAAATATAAATTTCTATGAAGGAAGTGTCCAGATGATATGAAGTGTCTTGAAGTTCTGCTTTAATTTATTCTTACAAAATACACTTCTGTGTAAATTCAGTTGAATGACTTATATGCAGTTATTTTTTTTATAATTTCTTATTTTTTAAAACTATATGGTAGATGTATTGTGTTGAAGTTGAATAGAGCAGGAAAATTGCTTTAAATATAAAATGAATACTCAGTATGTATAGCACAAGACGGCAATGCAGTTTTGTCTTGTTGTTTTTGTTTATTTAATAACATGTGTGTAAATGTTTTTTGATGTGTTATTTACAATGTTCCTGTTTCCTTTTCAGTATTAGTAGGCCTGTATGAAGAACCAGAGAAGCCAAACAATGCTCTAGAGTATCCTTTGGTTATATATAAACCTATACTTGTACACACAACGTTACGTACAATAATCCATGTCCGTCATTGTCCACTTTCGACAAATTGATTCCTGCAGATTTATTTCTTTTCCCCTGTTGAAGTATAGTAATAAAATGGTGTTTTTTTGTAAGTGACATTTACTCGTTTAGTTCCCAGGATCGGCCACAAGGATCGTTCACAAGGATCGGCCACAGAATATGTCTGTATGTCAGGGGTAAGGTGTAACTCATCCGTTATCTAGTGCTGTATGTCAAGGTGTTAATCTATGTTAATGCAGGCTATTTCTGTGTAAGACATTGAGTACATTATATTAAAACAAGTGCCAGAGGCTCTTTTCTTGCATCAGTCATTTTAACTTATCTTACTGAACACTTTTCTCTCAAAACCTCTGTGTTAAATCCTTAAAACCTGTTAACCTACTTAAATTGAAAGCTTGAAAATGATGTAAAACTTTTTCTAAATTTTAAAATCATGTTTCGCCCAGAGTCTTTTTTTCAAAATTCCAAAAGAAAAGTGTACTGAATGGTACACTTGTGAGATAATAACTGTGTTATGAAAATACACAAATAGTTTCAAATTCAAGTAATGGTCAATTGAAAAACTTTCAAATTATCAATATCTATTTAATTGATTAAACTATAACCTCAAAGCATAATGAGAAATTGTCTCGCAAAATGTTATTTCAAGAATGCTGCTAAGTTGGTTTAACTATTCAAGATGTGACTTCCTGACAATATTTATTATACTGATCATGACTTAATTTCACAAAATCACTTGCTTTTTTATATACAGTGCATAGGGATGAAATCAGAAATGTCATATATATGAAGTTTAACCCCCCCATTTAGGCAAACTTCAGAGGTCTTCCATATGAAACATCACAAGATAATTCCATGAATTGATGGAGTGGTCGATTGTAATTGTCAATATAAATCCTTTAGATGTCTTACCTAATAGTGCATTTTGTGTCATTTTGTATGTGAATGTTAAGAAAATTGAACTATTGTATGAATGAGTATAATTAACTATATATGTAAGTATTGGTTTTGTATTGTATATGTATATATACATATCTGTATAGCATAGATGGCAAAATGTCCTTAACTGGGTGCCAGCTTCCTGAAACAGCACCTAGGTGCCTCTGGACCCGAGACAGCTGATGTAGAGGCTCTGAAACAGGAAGTGACAGAGTTGCGGCAAAAAGTGGAACAGTTGTCGGAGGATAATACAGATCTGAAGGCCAAGGTTGGCAACGTACTGTGAACTTTTGCTAACACTACTAACTGTTGTCCCATGGGTAATCGTTGTTGTCAGCTGTTGTCCCATGGGTAATCGTTGTTGTCAGTTGACTTCTGGGTGTTAAGATTCTTTTATTTGTAAGGATGGTTCGTTTCAGTTAAAGTAAAACAATCCATCATATCTGTCTTTATCTTTGTTGGTGTTATATTTATCTGTCTTTTCATCTTTTTGTTGTAGTTTCTATCCATAATTACCTCATTTACTTCCTTACTTTCAGGCATTTCATTCATAGAGGTTTTGTCTTGTTTGTCCGCTGCTCACACCTTTATGTGAGCAAGTTGTAGTGATTTTCATTGTACCTATATATTTAACAGTGCATGTGGCAACATTTTTATCAAAATTCACATGACAGTGAAATCATCCCCAAAGATTTATTCTTTAGAAATGTGCATAGAAAAATTATATTAATATAACATACAAAAATGTTGTGAATGATCACTTAACCTGAAGGTTACCGTACATTTCCTATGGATTTTGAAGTTTCATGTCATTCCATTATAGAACAGATATTAATAACAGATTACAGGTCTGAATCATTACAGTGACTGAAAGGATATTAAATATTTTGATAGAAAAGGTAACTATACTTTAAGTACTACTAGAGTAAATAGTAATAGAGAGTTTACAAACTTCTGGATGAGTGAAGCCCCTATAGCTATGATCACTTTAACTCAGATAAGCTGCTTCCCGTCCCTTCTTTTCCTATTATGTTACAAATGTTATTAACATTTACGGACAACAATCGTATGATAAAGGCATCTGGAGTGTGTATCTGTGACATTTATGACAAAATATACCTTGTGTTTCTTGTTGATGGTTATTTATTTGTTTGAATTTGACAGTTGCTGTTTTAAGGGATGTGAAGGTTGACGATGAATTACTACACACATACAAAACATTGCTGATATTAATAGAAAACGTACTTTACATACTCTTTCCAGGGGTCAGAACTTGGTCAGTGTTTAGGTCAAAAATACCTAATTTCCAAATTTTAGATTACAGTTGTATATATGCTGTACAGTATCATTTTATCTTAATTCACTATTTAAACAATATTTCAAATAGAATATATGATTAATGATTTTAGATAGAAAACAGTGTTCAATCTGGTTTATTTTAGCTCAGTTGTGTCTTAAACCCGTCTTCATAGACACTATTAGATACACCTATCAATCTACATAAGCTTTAATGCTTCCCTTAGTTACACAACTTCACATTCTGATACCTCCATCTTTATCCGAGGATCTAACAAGTTCACTCTGGCTTTATTTAAGGATTGAAATATATATATATATATATAATCTTGATATTTATGAAACCTAGTTGCTTCCAGACATATGAAACCTAGTTGCTTCCAGACATATGAAACCTAGTTGCTTCCAGACATATGAAACCTATAGTTGCTTCCAGACATATGAAACCTAGTTGCTTCCAGACATATGAAACCTAGTTGCTTCCAGACATATGAAATCCAGTTGCTTCCAGACATATGAAACCCAGTTGCTTCCAGACATATGTAACCCAGTTGCTTCCAGACATATTCTATGATGCACATTAGTTAGCATGTCAGCTTGAGAATATGTATTTAAAGAAATGGAGTTTCATCAATGTTTAGAATACTAGTAAGCAGTTTTATATGATCTTTATCTTTACGTTTACAAACAAAGAAACGGTAAGTCATCTTTCTTTGTGGTTTCTTTTAATTCATGATATTCCTTTAAACTGTTTTACTGGATATGGTGCATCGACTATTTTTTTCTGGAACAAGGTAGTATTTTCTTTGGTTAATACATCTGTCAGGTCAAACCATTTGGAAATTTTTGTCAAAAGTTTGGATAGATGTTCCAACACGATTAGTCCCTGATTATGCATACAGTATGACAAAGACCCATACAGTTTAGGACCGAAAACGTTTTACATTTGCTGTTTTTATTTATAACAACATTTTGAGCTGGAAGTTCTATTTAGAGGTTGTACAATGGAAGTGTTTAGGTGATGTTTATGAGAAAGAGGTTGGAGACAGGTATTTTATGATATAGTTTCAAGGAATGCAAAACAAAAATAACAAAATAATTTATTTTTATTTTTCAGTTACAACAATATGAACCTCCGTCAGATGAACAGGCCCTGGATAGTTAGACACTCCCCAAACGCCGCCCATCCATCTCCTGTCATGTCTTCACTTCATCGTACATTAGGACAAGTGCTGTATAGGACGTCACAGTACCTCACCGAGTAGGACAAGTGTGTCTGTGACAGTATTCAACTTACAGAACATGCGGCAATGTGTTTTGTCAGATCAGCTGGCAAGAAAATAGTTTTATTGATGGACTCCTGTTTCACAAGGAAGACATGGAAAAGAATAGCTCAATATGGATATGGTTTTATCATGTATGACTGATTTTGTTTTCAGATCTCCATTGTCAAACAGGGTTTTGTCAAGTGTAAATTGCATACTTGTAAAACTATTGATACAAAACGTCTTTCCCTGGTCTCAGTAAATTTGGATCTACGTGAACCAGTATCTTTTTTGTCAAATTTACTTCAGACACAAAACATGATTCTCACTGTTGCTTTGAAAATCTACCTTTCAAAACACATATCTAATCAAGACACCTATATATATACATGACAGTTCTTTGAAGAAAGTTATGACGTTTTTGACTTTATTTCTTAATATTGATGCTGAAAATTTGTGATAGCATTACTACCATCTGGTATCAAATCTCATGCCCGTCAGCTTATCAAATCTTTGAAGAAAAAAACAACATTTTGGCAATGGACTATTAATGTCAAGTTATTTTTTAGCATCAGTTGACAGGTATAAAGTTTCTGGTCACAATATAAATATGTCCCTGGTATACAAAGAGTTACCCACCAGCTTTAAAAGGAATGTAGTCCTGTGTAATATTGTACTGTTCCCAGTTATCTCCCTTGTCAGTCGTTTTGGAAGGCTAACGGACAGTCTGATCTCACAGAAGTCTACAACACAAACACACATTCCAGTAATTGGCAGGTCTACATTGAAGTTACCCCAATTTGTTATTTTCATTTTCATTTGTCAAAGATAGAAAAAATAGAGAAAAAGAGTTTTTTAATCTTGTTTATTATGTAGATCATTTTATGTACGATTAAAATGTGATTGTAATTTAATTTTTTGTCTTCTTAGGAAGTTTTATTTCCAATAAATACCATAATTACTGTATATGGTCTTTTTGGTTATTTTTGTTAAATCTTCAAACATTAAAAATCATTTTGTATTGACTTCAGTAATGGATACTGAAGTCAAGATGCAGTGTATGTTGGACATCAAATTTAGCAGAAAATGCTGACAGCATATATGAAGGGGATTTAATTTGTTCTTTATTCTTCTTCAAAACTTCACCTAAATATGTTTGTATTTCCATCACAGTGATATTGAGTGTCACAACTATATGTTACTACATATACTGCCAAATCTCTCCGTCTCCTTGATTTGCATTAGAGTCCCCTATCAGTATTACTAGAGGGGACTATAGGTTTGCTTTCTGGTCGTCATTTCATATACTTTAATCACTTACAATTGCCAAATTTTGCAATTATGAATTTCTGTTGATGGCAGAATGCAGCATACAGAAATTCTGTCCATTACTGCACCACATGCAGAGTTATGGCCCCTTCACCATATGTCACTTTGCCTAGGGCTTGCCCCATTTACTCTTGTCATGTACAACTGCCAAATCTGTATGCTACTGCACATTTTTGGGAAGGTGGAGTTTCACATACTGAAATGGAGTCTGGTGCCATGCTAAATACAGAGTTATGGCCCTTCGTATTTTTTTTTATACCAGTTAGTACGGAGGTTGGGAAAGATGGAATATGTGCCATGTTCAGATTTGCACGGTTTCTGTGAAAAATCTTAGACTAGTCTTACATTGAATTTGAAAATGCGACTTCCTTTTTTCAATTTCAGTAAGGGTTTGCGATTAGGTTTTAGTTAAAGATATTCAAGCAATATTGATCTAAGGTATTCAAACACTAGAATGCTCATAATTGCTCAAACATTAGATATAAAAAGGCAGAGTCTGATAAGAAACCAATAGTATGAAACAACATTTCACAGCTGTAAGATTGTCAAGGAAGATTGTATTTGTATGATCGTGTATTGAAAAGAGAATGTTCTGCACCAGGAAATGTTTCACATGCTATGATGATGCCTTTGTATGTACAACAGAGTAAAAATGCAGGTCATTGAATATCAGGTCTTTAACTTAAGTTAAAATACTCATGAATGTTTAAACAGTGTGTTGTTCCCTATGAGCTGTATGAATTTAGAAAGGGGGAAATCGGGTAATGCTATTAATTTCCTTCATTTTACTGAATACCTGTTTTGGGAAACATAAAATACAGATAATTGCAAAAAAGAATATGCAACTTTAAGTACTAAAAGTCAGGTCATATTAAATAATCTGGTGAAATCCTGTCTTGTGTCAACTGAACCAACCTATACCGACCTACATATAAATGTATACACAAATCTTTGAACATAACACAAACACAAGTTTACATTCAAATATAATTTTTATTAAGTTTTTTTTCGTATAAAATCTATATGTTTTAGTTTTATTTCAGTTTTAGCATTTTGCTAATTTGTATAACTTAACAAATGTATACAGTACAAAGCTCATATGACATAAGGGGAGGTAATTGAATAGTTCTACATTCCTTGACTACCGGATCCCAGGGGTAAAATCTTTTTCGAGGGTAAAACAGACTACAGGACCTCTAGGGTAAAGAGGTTTATATATGCATTCAGAAAACTTGTAGTTCAGGATGCAGGGTTGTCACAAGTGGAAATACATAGGCCACCAGTAACATCAAATACAGAGGCTTGCACAGTAAAGTATAACCATACCACAACCCAATAATAAAAGCTTCAATTTTAAATGGAGGGAGTTCCTGTCGTATGACAATTATTTTTACTTCCCTTAAAAGAACTGAGAATTCTTATTCTTTTAAGTACACGGTAGTAAAAAATTTTTTTGATGTTTAAAATATTAAATATTTTTTCAAAACCGTTGAAGACGTACAATATCAGCTAATCGTCAGATACATCTGTATATTTGTCCCTTATACACGATATACATTTTAATTCACCATTATTAATAGATTCTAAATCGTTTACATTTTAAATGGAATGTTCTTCCTTTAATACAGCTTGACCCAATATATATCAAATTCTTGACCAGGGCGTGTGTTTAAATTTCAGCTTGTTGGAAAGGCCGGGTTATAAACCAGCTGTTTCAAGATGAATTTATTGGAACCAGAAAAATCAGCTATGGATTTAAAAGCTTTTTAAAAATCTTCATCCTCCTCAAAATATTTATCAGGTAACGCAGAGAGGTGTCCAGTTCCAAATCTAAATAAGTATTCCTGCCATTCCAACCACAAAAATATTAAGCCCTCCCCAAAAAAATAGTTTTATATACGAAGTATATATACTTTACATGTCTGGTATAATTGAGTATTTGTGATACAATTCCTGAATACAGAGTCGGTTACAGAATGTAGGTAAGAGAGTATTCATCAGTACTACCATTTTAAAATATGAGATATAAGTATCTTTAATATACTGTCTTTTACTGTTACCCATGAATATATAAGTATTTCTTACATTTTCAATAAGCAGTAATCAGATGGGTTACTTTCCAGGACTTTCGACTTGAAAAGTTATATTACTGCACTTGTCTGTCCTGCAGAATTTATAAACAAGATTATTATGGTATTGTGAGAGAATCTCTAGATAATAAATGTTGTTGGTGAAAGTCAACAAAGTGTTGTGTCAGTAACTAGCTAACTTATATGAATAATTATCTCCTTAACTTGTCATTAAACAGAAATTCCAAGAATTGATGATGTTAATAACCCTCTAAAATAAACCTATAACAAACTTGTTAATGATTATTAAACATTACAGGATACTTACAAAATAAACATAGCACCATCAAGTGATTCTGTAACAATATTTGTATATTTAATCCTCATATTTTCCATTAAATATTAACTTGTGACTCAGAATTTTTAAAATTATTCCTGTAATTAATCTATGGGAGATAACTGTGGAACGACAGGTTTCCCCTCCCAGGCAGGTATCTAAACATTAACATATTTAAGCTTGGTTACACAGTGTTTATAACAAGCTAATAACAGGTGAATGTGGACTCGATATAAAATAAAATGCATGAAAAATTAAAAAATATCAACGGAAAAATGCATTTGGTCTACATAATCAGGGGAGTGGTTCTATGACAGGAGAACCTTGTGAACAATGATGATGTGTGATGGGGATTTGTACAACCAATGGCTATTTTTACAGAGGACCTTGTTCTCAAATCTATGTACACACACACAAATACTCATCACCTCGCTCTTGTAGGCCTACACTCCGAGATACACACGTCTTGTTATTGTAGGCCTTATACGTGATCTGAAAATTACAACAGTTCTCTTACAGAACTCACTACTTGATATAAATTATGGAAGATTTGCATTTTTTCCTTATAACTATTTACACATCCTTATCTACACACATGTGGACGTCCTTGGTCAGATTATAAAATAAGACCCAATACAAAACTCTTATGGTCGTGCAGTATCATTCTAACCGTTGATTTCAAGTTCTGAGTAAAAAAACATGACTGACCTTTGATCCCAAATCTAGGGCGAAAGCACAATATCATGCCATTACCTTGATTCTGAGGTCAAAGCAAAATGTCTGACCTCTAATGACAGACCTGTATGATAGCACACAGCTTAAGTCTGCTAATATAATTATTAATGTTCAGTCACATACTCAACAATAATATCCCCCTAATCATTTGGCAATTTCACACAATTCTTAAACTATACATGATGCAAGTATTGGAAGAACATTAACACACATAATTATGAATTTCAAAATGTCTGCAGTTTTGCTATGTGCCTGATTCTTTCTACTTCTTTTCTGTTGGGGATAAAACAGGAAAACGAATATTTCAGTAGATTCTCTGCTTTATATGGTTACCACAGTAACACATATCTCTTGAACGAAAAACAAAATTTGGCAGTGTTTTCACAAATAATAACATGTACGTTTGTATACATGCACACGCACACACACACACACACATACACATGTTGCATGTAGGTATCACATATCAATGTAAATGACAACAATTTTCAACAACTTAAAACTATCCAGACACAAGCGGCATCACAGAATCATCACGATCGTGTATCACAACACGGAGCCCCATCTTGTCGCTTTCTTTTAGGACAAATTGGACTAGCCTACTTCTACAATCTTTGGTATTTCAAATTTTTGGCTGGATCTAACTGGAAATATTTTTATTCTGCATTTCTCGCTGAAGAAAGCTCTAAAAAACCATTTGACAAAATCAGTTCAAAATATTCTTATTCCCCATTGTCCTGTGAACATCTTCATGTTTCTGAATATAAAAGCTACTGTAACTGTGGTTTTTTTTTTATCTCCATCACTTTCATCCAACGGGGGGAAATATGTGTCTACATGATGAAGACGAAGATGGGTGATAATATTTTCCTTTCACATATGCCCTGACGTAAATGTTCATGTGAATCATGAGGCTGGCATGACCTCAGCCTGGGCTAGAATGATCACATTTTTACATAATGAAGGACACACACACTATGACATGTTTCACAGGTGTCTGAGTTTCAATGAAAAATGATTTCTCCAGACATGTGTCTCTGTGATAGGGGATGACCTTATATCCTCAACACAGGTAAACACAGATATGAGATCATTGATGGGTTGCTATGGCGATGACCTCTAGCTGGTCTGGGGTTGTGTCGTTTCTTTGGCCTCGGCCTCCACATTGTCATCGTCGTCGGTCATCACAGTGACCAGGCGCCCGACCTCCTTGCCCACCTCTCCAGCCATGTGGAACAGATTCCCCACCTTGTTGGGACCTGGTAAGTACAACAAAAATAATCACATTTATACACTGGGTAATACAGAAACCTAATGGTAATATATAGTACTATTAATGGGTAATACAGAAACCTAATGGTAATATATAGTACCATCAATGCATGGGTAATACAGAAACCTAATGGTAATATATAGTACAATTAATGGGTAATACAGAAACCTACTGGTAATATAGTACCATCAATGGGTAATACAGAAACCTACTGGTTATAAAGTACCATCAATGGGTAATATAGAAACCTACTGGTAATATATAGTACAATTAATGGGTAATACAGAAACCTACTGGTAATATAGTACCATCAATGGATAATACAGAAACCTTATGGTTATATAGTACCATCAATGGGTAATACAGAAACCTACTGGTTATATAGTACCATCAATGGGTAAAACAGAAACCTACTGGTAATATAGTACCATCAATGGGTAACACAGAAACCTACTGGTTATATAGTACCATCAATGGGTAATACAGAAACCTACATGTTATATAGTACCATCAATGGGTAAAACAGAAACCTACTGGTAATATAGTACCATCAATGGGTAATACAGAAACCTACTGGTAATATAGTACCATTAATGGGTAATACAGAAACCTACTGGTAATATAGTACCATGAATGGGTAATACAGAAACCTACTGGTTATATAGTGCCATCAATGGGTAATACAGAAGCCTACAGGTTATATAGTACCATCAATGGGAAATACAGAAACCTACTGGTAATATAGTACAATCAATGGGTAATACAGAAACTTACTGTTTATATAGTACCATCAATGGGGAATACAGAAACCTACTGGTTAAATAGTACCATCAATGGGTAATACAGAAACCTACTGGTTATATAGTACCATGAATGGGTAATACAGAAACCTACTGGTAATATAGTACCATTAATGGGTAATACAGAAAATTACTGGTAATATAGTACCATTAATGGGTAATACAGAAAATTACTGGTTATATAGTACCATCAATGGGTAATACAGAAACCTACTGGTAATATAGTACCATCAATGGGCAATACAGAAACCTACTGGTTATATAGTACCATCAATGGGCAATACAGAAACCAGTAAAGATGATGCAATATGTACCTTAAAAAGTATAATTGAGTCATTGACCTCCACTTCGTCTTGGTAAATATCACTTTCCAGGTTCATATTACATCATTTCCTCATTACAAAAAGTCCATAATTGAACATTAATGTATAGAGATTTATTTTAAAAGAGACAGGTGAAATAGGATGGAAAGAGATAGAGAAAAAGAAAGGAATGAAAGCGTGAGAGAAAGTTTGAGGTGTCTATACCTCTTGATTTGTCCTCTGTTACACTGCCGTTGGGTTCTGAGATGATATCGCTGATGTCCCCAACTTCCTCTTTACTAGGTGTGTCTGTTAACATGAAAATCAGAACAGTGTCATCATAGAAATACAATGTTATTCACCTACCAGACTACCAGGGTTTTCTCCTGGTACTCCTGTTTCCTCCCACACTAAGACCCCCGCCCCCCCNNNNCCCCCCCCTGCGCACTAACATCCAGGTCAACAAGATTGTTTAATATAAGTTGAAATAACTTGTTTCATAATTGTTGTAAAGTAAATAAACTTTATATATTCATGCAGTGTTTATTATGCCCGTCACATTGAAATACGAGGTATACATGTATATTATGTTGTTTACAAACAGTTGCTGTAATGATAAATTGGCCCTACAACAGATAGCGGAAAAGGCTTAACTTAAACTGCTGTGAACATTTCCCGTTATATAGTATTTTCACATGATATTGATAAGAAGGAGAACGGCTGCGGTGAAGTCATTACAAAGGGAGGTTATTACTGACCTGTTGTGTGGCTGTGACCATTCATTTGAGGAGTGGACTCCAGCTGAGGGCTGAACCTGTAACGAGGGGGCGGGGGCTGCTGTACATCAGATTCCTCGGAAGAGGGTGTTGTGGGCATGGACGACCCCAGACTCTGGTCCTGAGCAGGCTAAAAACATAAGTTTCGTATTTGAACCAATGTACAAGATACATTTTCCAGTCCTGTCAGATCACTTGGATAAGCACATGCATATATATCTGGAATAATAATTTCTATACAACAATAATACTCTATTCTTTGCACTTAAAGTTTATGGTATATGTCCTTTAAGAATTCTTTTACCATATCTGGAATACTTCTGTATTCTATTACAAGTTACAACCAGTATTACTGAAAACCACATTAAATGGAAACTGTTTGGTGATATTGAGCTAGGAAAGGTTAATTCCTCTATCAACCCCTCATCAAAATCCAAGGGTTCTGTCCTTCATATAGATATCTTTTTCTACACACATAACACATAAAACGAAGTTTGATGGGATTGATTCCTTCCCTCTAGCGTTCAATGTGTATATGTATAGAACTCCTAAGTTATATTATATGGTTTTATCAGTCAGATCCACAACCCCCTCCCCAGATTGCAGAGAATATAGAGCCTTTAATGGGAACATGCAAACTGCTCAGAATTTCAGATCCCTGCAAATATGTCTTGAATCAAATGAAGCTGTTGAAGTCTTGCCTTGAAATTATTTCCAATAGTACATGATATCGGGAACAACATTGAAGTTTGTCGGTAATTCATGTAGAGTGATGACTCACCTGGTCGAGAAGCTGTTTGAGGCGAGTCAGCTGGGCCTCCAGTTGCTGGTTGTGGTCCTCTAGGATCTTCATGCGTGACTCCAGACGACCTTTGTGTTGACGTAGTAACTTGGCCTCGGCGATCATTTCTGCGTCCATGTCAACATTGCAGTTATTTTCATCGTCCTCCTCTTCCAAGCCATTACCATTTTCTCGTAGTTCATTTGCTTGTTTCAGGCGGTCATACTCCTGCTGTAGTGTCCTACAAATCAGTGTTAATGTAAGGTTTGTATCAAAGCCATTTAACAAGCTGTCTGTATTGTCTTAAAAATCGTTGTCAATGAAATGTTTGCATCAAGGCCATTTAATAGACTATCTGTATTGTCTTATAAATCAATGAATTATAGTAAAGTTGTGTTTCCCCCAGGAAATCAATAATGATTAATTTCACTTAATAAATATTAAATAATGTATTCAAACATTGATACAAACTTGGTAAAATTTAATAGGTTTGTTTGTTAAAGTCTGGAATATGAAACTAGATATTTTTTAATAGATCAATCTTCTGTTTTTCACTATATATTTTTTTTTCAACTTTCCTACACTATATTCAAACTTCATTAATATTTAAAATTTGGATAAACTGGTCACAGGCCTAGGGATACCAGTCTCATCCAATCAAGAGTTAATTTTGTGGTACCATGATGTACCAAAAGTTCACTATGAGGAAAAACTTAAAATCTTTAGGAGGGACTTCCATAGATAAAGTAATATAATAAGGCTTATAAAATGAGCACAGATGCAGTTTAAAATTTCATTTATTTCATCAATATCTTCAAGTTTCAACCAAAAAGACAAACTAATTGAACCCAAAACAAATGCAACCAATTTAAACAAACTTTCCTGAAAATTAAATTGGTTCAAACAGAATTATTTTTCAATACATACATGCTGGTAGCCAGGAATATCTGTATCACAGACGTTTGACAAAACCAGATAATTGTGAACATTACCTAGTACTACAGCCTTGGTAAAACCCTCTGCGACTTATAAATGCCGAAAAATCAATAATCTCAAGTACACTATGTTCCTGTCTATTACAAAGACATGTGTCTGCCGACCCTGACCTGAAGAGGGGTCATAAGGTCACACTTACTTGTTTTCCTCCTCGAGGTCCTTGATCATGGCCTCCAGCTCGGACTTCTGATCGGAGTCCACCGCCATCATGATTTGCATTGGACTCTTTAGCTACAAAGGTACAAACATGACATTAGTGCTTACATCAGAAACACATGACAAATGCTTACATCACATATGACTCACCCGTTAGTCGGTACTGCACGGTATAAAATCAATTGCACTAGGCTTTTGACAGTACATTTTTTGCTTACTCTGCATTCATTTGTAGATATGTATATATTATTGATTAGTTCCTTTTAACTTGGGAATGAAGTACTGCTTTACAAATTTGTTGTCATATCGCCAAAGTTGAGAATTCTGATGCCAGTATATACATGTAACAATCATTAACCCACAGCAAGTTTTCTCGAAAGGTAGATAATTCCCGACCAATCAGAGTATTCGAGACAGCTTTATCTAATCACAAGTGTCCAGAAGAGCCATTGCTATAGTGGTAGTGCTGCATTAAATGGATACTTACCGTATGAGAGGTGTTTCCATTCAGACTTTGGCAGTACTGAGCAATCAGATTATGTTCGTCATCACTGTGAATGGGAGATAATTTAATTGGTAAAAATTCTTCATTAGGTTATTTGAAAACGTATGTCCCAATTTTTTCTCTTTAATATGCTCTAAATCAGCATCAACTCCAAGTAAAAATCCAAACAGAACAATATCTGGTTTTTGGAAGAATTTGCACTGATTAAGAAAGATAATGAGATTTCTCTGGTAGAAATTAGAACTCTCCTGCATGTATAGCTTTTACTGTGATTAACCCTCAAATGTCTATAAATAGACCAAAACGTGGCAAGTCAACAGTCAATCTGCACTGAAAAGGAACTTAACCAAATCTTTATAGTTTAACCCCTGAACAACTTCAACACCTTAAACTTCGTCTGAAAGCAGACACAATGATTTCATACTCAACGTGATTGAAAGGGGAATTGACGTAGCCAAAGCCTAATGCACAGACCTCTGTTCCGTTATTACCATGCATAACATTTGTTAGGTTCTACTGATTGAGATCAAATTGTTTCAAAATAGAAAAGTAAGACGGCAAGATCAATACCACAGGCACCCTGATGGCGACACGTTCAAATAAACGACAATCTTAATAAAACCTTGAAAAAAAGAAACTGCTTTTGCAGTAAATAGAAATTGCATCCTTATTCCAAAGATTTGCATTCTCAAATCATTTGAGAAAGGACAAACGCATACCAACACACATTTTTTTTTTAAATTTCTCCAAATGAATGGGAGAATCACAAATGGGAAAGACATTGCAATGAAAGCTACAATCAGAACCTATAACAGGTCCCAAGTGGGTCTTCCTGGCCATGCAGTCTTACCTCAATCACTTCCTCATTACTCCCCAGCGAGGGTACACACCTAATATTTGTGGTTTTGTACATCATAATCGGATAGAAAAAGTCAATTTGACATAATTTGTTTTTACATTTTTCTGTTTATGTAAGCAAACATCTCTAGGCTAAGATTTGATGGGAAATCAATCTTTAAAAAAAAAAAATGCGAATCGTGGAAGTGGCACTAGGAGACCAATCGACAACAGCACAAGCAGCAACAGCACATAACATTAGGTATATATATAGGTATACTTACGAGTCGGGTGTGGAGGACGCCTGTCTCTGTTCCACTTCAGCCAATCTACAACAATTCATATAGGTCATCATATTTATGCCAATAGAATACCGTTTTTAGTATCCCTAAGCACTGTTTAAAGAGTAACACCAGTTTGTGGACAGTACATAGGTTTATAGATCGTGGCTGACGGTACACAGTGTCCCCACACTGACTTAGTCCTGCCAGGTAACCCCGCACTACTTGACACTGTCTTATGTGGCAGCGATGGTAATACGTGTAGTATCATGACTGTTGGTAGCAAAAACCGAGCAATAACGACGCCATTACATGCTTGTCTGATCGCTAGAAACTGCATTAGATACAGAATGATGTCATTGGCTGATATTGAATGCGAAGTAAGATATCACTCCTTATACCAGCTGGAGAAGGTATGATGTCATTGGCAATATTGTTTCGAGATGCTGATCCATCTTCATGTGTATTAAAGTGGATCAATATTTAAGTGGAAATCATCTGAGGAAGGAAGATGACACGGAGGTTTAATTATGTTATTTCCAGGATAAAGGAGCTATAATCGTGGGAGTTATTGATCATCGGGACTAAAGCTCCCTGCAATTGATTTGAGATATTACTCGTAAGCCTTTATTTAGACACAGCACTTAGAAGTCAACTTCGTCTTGTGGTATAGCATTTGCAGGGCCAAAAGATCAACAGCTAAACAGTTTGGGTACTGACAGAGTAAGAAATTGTCCCTGTTTATTGCAGAGACAAAGACTTGATGATAGGTTGGAGATTTGGCGATGATGGAATTCTATAAAGAGGCCTATACCCTGGGTGTAATAAACAACAAGCGGCCGATCAATAATCCACATCTACACTTTTAATGCATTTTCCGACAGAATAGATTGACATGCTTGTTTACGCTAGACAATCACAATACATTATATCACAGAAGGGATTGTTTTTGTAAAGAGGAACACCCTGTAGCAGCAGAGCTTCCACCTGCCCACCCATTATCCACAGACTTAAATGGCGGGATGGTGTGACCGTCTGATTCAGGGCAGTTTCAAGAGTACCAGTAACCAGCACTTTGTAATCACGCTCTACTCCTTCTCCAAATGCACAGTACCATTTAAGACTGTGCCAATTGAACTTTGAAGTCAGGAACTTAACCATTAAAGGATGGCAATGTCGTGCCAAAGAGCTATTCACCACGGTAACCGCAGGCAACCAATCATCAGGTTTCACAGCAGTGTAGCAAAAAATGTTTAAAAATCAATAATTGTTTGCTGAATAGTTCACAAATACAGAACTAAATAACATTTGCAAAATAAAATCCACCCGTTAAATTCAATTTTAATTGCTCTGCTTTCTACTTTTCAGGACAAAACAATATGCACTTTAAAATCACAACATTTTGAAAAATAGAGGTCGAGACCATTTGAAATGTTTTGACCTTTCTGGAATGGCTTTCCTGTACTTTGATACATAAGGGGATGAATCAGTAAAATTATCCTTTGTACACAGCATTTGGCAAAATTTGAGGAATAGCAGTGACATTACAAACATGCTGAACAAATGTTGTAATTTGAAACTCCAACATGGAGCACAGGACCAGATTTCCCTCAGGGAAGCAATATTTGTAGAAGGATATTTTTTTTTTTGCCACTGATTAAACATTCAACTTTGATGATCAAATGCATCTGAACGGTTTCTAGCAGAACAAGCAATATGACATGTACAGTCAAGGCTTTAGCAGAAACAGCCACTGGCATGCACAGTTTTAATGATAAAGCATCATTCAAAAGGGATGGGAAACCTAACTCCTCAACCACATAGGTTGTCACAGGGAACTCCAGTGTTCTAGGTAACTCCAGTTTCCTCCCACATTAAGAACCCTTCTGTGCTAATTAACATCCAGGCCAACAAAACTGATTTATACAAGTTGATGAATGATGGGAAGTCCCAAAGAATTTCTGAATGGAAAATATTACCATGTTAGTATTTACCAAGCAACAATCATTTTATATTTCTAATGAATTATTATAATGGTATGAAATGGTGTACAGCACTAAGAATGATCAGCTTTGAACATCTTTTACCTTTAATGCAATAAAAAAATCAAAATTCTTTAATGAGGAATACTGTAGAAATTATTCCATACTACTGATCACAATAAAATATGTTTTGTATACAACAGAAGGTTTATAATAAGACCAGTCCTAAACCAGAGATTAAAGACAGTCTATAAAATAAACTGAAACAAAATGTCCTTTTTTGTCATTACCCAGTTACTACAGTCAAAATGAAGAGTCCCCAAAAGTAGAATTTCATTAAAATAACATTAAAATAAGTTTACAGTAAATCTTCAGATAGATAATTATTTTTTCATTTTTTAAATAGTGGTTCCCATTTATAATTCTACAGCATGTCTAAGATATAAGCAAGAATGGACCAACGTAACCTGACTTAAATTCTGCTTTTAATGAGCTTGAAATTTTTTCTTTTTTTTCTCTCTTCTTTTTGTGTGTGCAGAAATTAAACTGCCAGCCACCTTTAAAAAAAATAATTATGGAGCATCACAATTAAATTTAAAAAAATTGCCAGACATCCTGCAGGGAGTAGAGTGATCCTAGACTTAAAAATCTTGCCATGATGGAAAGCTGGACATTGACAGTGAGCAGACGGCAGCCATGTATTATTGATGGGTAAAAAGTGCCAGACCCCGCCATTGACAAACAATTAGATTGTTTACATTGCTAGAGCATCATCGCCTTCTCCCAGACATAACCTTATGGGTATATATATCAATCCTTTACTCCCATTAACTCCATAGCTTCGCTGCAATGAAGTGCAATCCAATTCAAAATCTATTTCCTTATTTGAAAAAGAAAAAAATGAAAGCAATGTATAAAGCTATTAACTAAATGAGATTTTAGCACAAATAGGTTTTCTGTGAACACTTACTGTATCATATATCATTTAGAATACTGACTTTTACGGAAACGTTTTTTTAAATACATGTGAAGTTTTATTATGTGACCTTTGTATGACAGTTATATTATTGAACATTGATGTCTTGTGAAATTTTCCAAAAATTATGCAAATATTGACTTTTTGTGAATACTTTTATAAAACCTTATTTTTGTGAATATTTGTTTTGTAAACAATACTTTTTAATATTTGTGTCCATATCTATTTATTTTCTTATACTTTTTTTTGTAAATATCTATTTTTGTGAATATTTTTGAGTGTGAATATTTATGCATTTTTTTAATTTTATTTTCATTAATATTTGCAAATATTTGATTTTTGAACCATTTTGTTAGGACTGCATTTTGCAAACGAAAATGAATATAAATATTTTTTGTGAATATTTCTGTGAATAATTATCTGTGTTTACATTTATTTTTGTGACTACTGTAAATATTTTTTGAAAGTATTTATTTTTGTAAATAATAAAGATATGCGAATATTTGTGCAAGTCCTTTTTTGTGTGCACTTCATTCTCTGATTACGCTTCAAACCGTTTATTTGTAAGGATTTTATCCCCTAATAATATTTGTGTAATTACTGGTAGTTACTTTAGTGCACTTCTATTTTCCTGTCGATGCATCAAACAATATATTTTGTAAGGATAAAAATTGATTTGTAAGAATGGAAAATAATATGCAGGGTTTACAATGTAATCATAAGGATAACTTATTTGTTTCCTAAGCATAACAATTTATTCCCCAGGACTAAAATTTGCAAAAACAATCACATCCGATGATAAATTTTAACCATCCTTTCTGTAAGTTACAATTGTAGAAAGCTTTATTTGTCGTGGTGACACTTAAGCCATGAGATGGTATATGACAACCTCGCAGGGATATATTCCCCTCAAGCATACTCCTAGTGAGAATTTGAACCAAATACTCTAGAAATGTGTCTCATTTAACTTTCTAGAACTGTTCCAGACTTTTTCACAGGGGATTAGATATGAGAAATATTTGCACCATTTCTAGTTTTGAATTACACACACTAAAATAGAAAATACCACACATGTGTTCATCTGATCTCTCAAATTGTATGAGAAAATTGAGCGTATGGATATATTTTACGAAGTTTTTATTCTAAGTGAAATATATCCATTTGCACAATACAGTTGGTGACCACCGTTGTGCTTCCCACCTCATGTGCCAACAATGGTCGACAACAGTGCGATGGAAATTACACCAACTCTCTCAACAAGAAATAAGCTTGTAATGATAAATATATCTATGAATGAAAAAATGAGGAGGAAAGAGAAACCACACTTACCTGTTTGCATAAAGTTCAAGGCGGGAATGCATGTCTTGTGATGATATACTATGCTGCGGGGACGGTGACGGACTGAAACAAAGAAAATTAAAGTTTAGCATCAACAAGTCAAAAAAAAAAATGTTTTATTGACAGGTTTTCTGACTGGAAGTTCACAGTAAACAAATATGTTGTTCATGTCAATGATATCTGCTGGTCTTTTTAACATTTATACAAACTAAGTATAGAAATCAAAGATGATACCGCCTGGAAATCGACAATCTGTACATGATATACTAAGATTTTACATGGAAAAGAACACAGACTTTTATAAAGCAAAATGCACACAATTTTAAGATATTCAAAGATGAACAGTCTTTTTTAAAAACCTTTTGATATTTTTTTTACTTGCCTACACAAACATGAAACTTAAAAACAATACCAGTAATTGATAATCCAGTTACTCGAATCTCCGATGTAATTGACAGAAGCTATATGGACGAGAATATGTAGGTGGCAATGCTAAATAAACCACCGTTATACTCAACCAAGGAAACCAGTATCAAGTACCGAAATCTTAAACGCTTCAAAACATGTAAACGAATTCCAATACACATACTGTTGAGAAGGAACATTCAATTTCTTGACATACAATATTCGGCTAATTTTTGAAACAAACGTCTCCAGTTTTCAGTATCAATGTCCAGAGTCAGAACATCAGATTCAAGTAAGTAAAGAAAACACACAGATTTTAGACAAAAGTCAATCGACTCGTAACGTGTCAATCAAATTGACAGTATAAATACCCAGAGTGAGGCTCAAGTTTTCAGCAAATGAATGACCAATAGGAAATCCCAGATAAGCGCGTCAACCTAGCAGTGTAATTGTTTTGAATAAGGTTTGATTTCACATGAGTGGATAAAACACAAATTTGGTATCAAGGTCCCAAAATTCTTGGCGAGAAATTCCAGAGTGAGTCTAGTGAGTGAATGACAAACCTAACTTTAAGAACCTAGACCTCTAGATGTCAGTATGAATGTCCAGTGTGAGGCTCAAGTTCCAATGAATGAACGACCAATGTGTCCAGACAAACAGAACCAACAATATCGGGGCTAGGGGTATCCTCTTAGTCTGGTCTTATACAGATGAGTCTCCTAAAAGCCAGGCACACATGGAATCACATCTAATAAATGACCACAGCGCCAGTGAGTGTCCGAGAGGATGGTTCTGGACTGCCCCGAGAGCCACTACTGAAAGACAACTGACAGGCAGTGGCTAGGCTAGCACCGACAAGTCGGTCAAAACTCGTATAAATATGGCACGGTATCACACCGAATACAGCAGGTAATGATCTGGCGCCAAAAGCAATCAAACGAAGGTGCTTTACTGTCAGGATAACAACAACAGGTGCCCCGGCGTGATCCTCCGCTGTGTCCCACGATACCCTATCTACAACGGATCAGTCTGAGTAAATGGTAAAGCTGCGAAGTGGATTTATACCGTACCCGTAGATCTGTACAGTCAACTATTTAGGGTCCCACAGGAATACCGTCAAAGCCTGAGAGTTTCTGGAGTCACACCAAGCAAAACCTCGCTTCTGACAACTTACCGTAATTAGTATCTACCAACTGCAATTTACGCTCTCACCAAATGGAGAAAAATTGAGATGGTGCGATCAATACTATAGTCAGGGACGTTTAAGTTTCCCAGAAATACCCCACGAGGCCATACATCAAGCTCTGTGTGATAAATATACAGTGATAACAGTAGGTGGCATGGAGGAACACGATTCTATGTCCCTTATTGGAATAGAATGTGACCAGCACACCACAATGGATCACCTGATGGAGTCTGTACAAATGATTTCTACGTGCTGTTGGGAAAACACGTTATCCTGCCATATCAGGAAAATGGACCTTAACGAGAACAAAGCTTCCTACATATATTGATAAAACTGTTTCATCTCCCGTTTGTCTTCCCCGCCTGACGTGTGTGTCTACCATTTGCTGGCTGTAGATGGTTGCTTTGTATGTTCGTGATGGTGACAAATACACAGTTCTCATTTTATAAAAAATATATTTCAGTCAAAATGAATGTTTCAAAAGGGGTTTAACTGTTTTTATGAAAGTTTCAAATTCTAGTTTGGTGTACTTTTTAAGTATGGCTATATGCATGCACATTCCCCATCAACCTCACTTAGCAGGAACTGGGAATAAACCTGACAAATATGCCCACACAGAAGTGATGAATGGGCTCAGTCATGGAGTACGAAACCAAAGGCATACAGTTGATGCCTACTCATTGCACAAAGAGCTTGCATGATATATGGATCCTTTGAAGGAAGAACAAAGTTTTTATGCAAATATACCTAGACACACGTATGAAAAATAAAATTAAAAAACAACTTCATACGAAGGGGTTGGCATGATATAGATCCTTTTGAGGAATAAAAATATTAAAAGAAAAATCCAAACAAAGGCTACACAAAATCAAACATACCTAAGCTCATAAAACCACCACCCTTCACAACTAACTGGCATTGATATGAATATATATGAATGCAGAGAGTTTAGTATCAACTCACGGAAATATGAATTTCACTAAGATTATACGCAGAAAATTCACATTCGGACACCTGAAAAAACCCAAGCAGATGTCAAAACATCCTCATTGTATACATTTGTAATAGCCCTAGATGGATTACAACATACACACAAAGAAAGAAATTTGATTTGTCTTGCCTGTGATGTTCAGAGTTGCTACCTGTGTGACAATTATATAGACGGCAGCATCAGAGAACTGCCTGCTGAAAACGGCAGGAGCAGCTTTCATTGCGTTTACGACGCACTGTTCATAACACATACCAGTATTGATTAAGCCCAAAGAAACAGAACAATATGCATTACCGTACCTGTGAATGGTGAGAATTCCCATAATCCTCGAGAATTTTCTCCGCAGAGAATTTGTGCACAAGGCGTGGATATCCAGCAGACGGTAGCTTTTAATCATAGACAAATTTGAGGGAGGACCCCTGTCACATTCAAAAACACTGAAGGAATGATTCTTCGATCAATCCGCGGTGTCTAACAAATCTAGAGATACTGCGTAGTTTCTAGACCGATCGACAGATGACCTAAAAGAATATATTCTCTGTGATGCAAGATTAGAGAGACTCAGAGATTGAGTACAAAAGCTAGCAATTTTTGTAATCAATGGTGTCGCACACAGCGAACTCAAATCAGGTCTCCGAGTGAGATTTGATGTCCCAGAGCTGAGTACAGCTGAAGTAGGGTTGACAATCCTGATACGAGCAGACGACAATTTGATATAAATAGATCCTTCTTGTTTCACTCCCCTTTAGAAGGTTGTTGATCAGTCTGTCTAATGGAAGTTGTAAAAACAATTACTGATGAACAAATGTCAATTATAATTTAGAGAAACCTGGAATGAAAATCAAAGGGTAGGTTAAGATCACTCTTATGTTCATTTCACAGATCTCTGATCCTTCAAATGTTAAGTTGCTCATCAACGGAACTGTTTCACTGAAATGTTACCAGTTGAATCTCATAAGCAACGCTACAGGTAAAATACCGCTCTCTTCTTGTCCTCAGGTATGTCAAAAAATATAACAAAACAAAGTCTCTTGGAATTGTCAGACACCTAACGCAAACCAACAAGTGTCAAAAAATGGCGGTTTGAAAATCAGGATAGCAGACGACAATCGGTACACAGAGAGTCAACCTTCCTTCCCCTACTGTATTAACCATAACATCACTCACTTAGTGGAATTCTGAGATGGTTCATTGATAACAAAGTATCATTGTAATGGTTGTGAAGAAATCAGGGTAATTAATGGAGGCAGAACTGATCAATATATACTGAATGAGTCGGCTGATACTGCAGGCTACATTTCTCTACCAACTATTGATCGACGACACATCTTAATCAGCCATGCATCCCGCTCAAAACACATCCCCGCTCCCTTTCTCCACGTGACTACCTGTTGAAGAAGGTGTCTGATGAGGTGATGTGTCGCAAGGTGAAGGTGACGGATCATCAAATTAAAGCGAAATAAAAACTTGAACATCACCAATGTAGACAATTAGCAATCAATGTCTCCCATGCAAGCATTTATGTTATCAGCTTCATCCATTCCAACGCTTCTCCTTTTCATTTATTGCAAGTTTGTTCCTACTTTGTGGCCCCGTTTAACCATACAGTACTTGATGGGTCTTTTGTGTGGCCTTGTATGACTACTTTGTTAAAGAGCAATTGACAAACGTGCAGTCTTGCAAGATCTTACTGTTGTAAGCTTTTCGGAATGGTTCTATATGACCTTATTATGTTGATGAACCATTTAGAACACTGTGTGGTCCTTTATGACCTTATTGTGTTGATGGGCCATTTTGACAACGTAGATCCTGTATATATATATAAATGACCAAATTGTTTTGATGGCCTGTTTAGACTACCATGTTATCTGTATGACCTTATGGTATTGAAGACCAATTGAGAATATACTGTGTGTTCCTTATTGTGTTGATGGGTGGTTAAGTAATTAAATATGGTCCTATATGTAAGTTCCTTATTGTGTAGATCTCGGGGGTCGCCGTTTCGTTTGGTCCTATATGTAAGTTCCTTATTATTGTGTTGATGGGTGGTTAAGTAATTAAATATGGTCCTATATGTAAGTTTATTATTGTGTTGATAGGTGGTTAAGTCATTAAATATGGTCTTATATGTAAGTTCCTTATTGTGTTGATGGGTGGTTAAGTCATTACATATGGTCCTATATGTAAGTTCCTTATTATTGTGTTGATGGGGGGTTAAGTCATTAAATATGGTCCTATATGTAAGTTCCTTATTATTGTGTTGATGGGTGGTTAAGTCATTAAATATGGTCCTACAGATGACTGTAACACACACGGAGGTGAATGCACCGTTAAAATTTTGCAATACATAAAGTATGCCAAAATACGAATTACACTGTATCATACAGCATCTCATCCTTCTAGGGCTTGACATGTGGGGCCATTAATATTTAGATTGTAGCTCTGTAGGTAACACAAAAAACAACAACAGGCAAGCGTACT